TTTTGACAAAATTCTGCAAAAAGTTTGATATTGCTCATCCATTAGCATATAATATGTGGAGAAAGAAGTCCTGAAGCATGCGCATGACAAAGTCGAAGTTTCCGATATTGAAAAAGCATGCACCAAGTGAATTGTGTAAGAGAGAAAAATCTGTTCTTGCACGATGTTATAATTATGCAAACATCAAATAGAAGAAGAAGACTGTAAACAACCACATTACATAGAAATTGATCTCAAACTCCATAAATATAGCAGCCCATCCTTTCTTAGATCAACAATACAAATTCTTTTTTCATCGATCACAACCAACATCTAGGAATCCAAAATATCATATAAATAAAAAGTAGAGTGATGACATACCTTCTCCTCATCTACCGGAAAGCCTAGGATCATCCACGCTAGAAATTTTAGGATTAACGTCTCAACAATCGTGGAAGAATTAATTTCCATTGCACCCAAACCCAATCATACACATCATCAATGAAATGGAAATAAGCATGCCTCCATGCGTCTTTGAGGAAGAGAATACCACAAAATATCCAAAATCCCATCACAAATCCTAGTACCATGCTAATATAGAACCATAGCCAATCGGAAATCTCCTTCTCGTGCTCTTGTATATCAATTTGAGTTGTTTTATTATCAAAACAACTTTTGGAAGTGGGTGGTCCACATAAGTCGGCATTACCCATGTAAATGGATGGATCATTGAGTGTTTGAAGTTGACGACCAGATGGTATCATTCCCGAAAGATTATTATATGACAAATTCAAATAGCTCAAGAAATATAAAGCCGATAAGCTCTCAGGAATACTACCATAAAGATCATTTATCGATAGATCAAGGGATTCTAATGATTTCATTCCTCCTATCTCCCAAGGGATTTTTCCTTGTAAATAATTTCTTGACAAATTTAAGTTCTTGAGTCCTGCAAGGTCTCCAATTCCTTTCGGGATCTCTCCGATTAGACTATTATTTGAAAGATCCAAACTTTTCATAAGTTTCATGCTGCATTTTAAATAATGAAGATCTTGTCCCTTCGTAAAGATATCTAATTCATTAGAACAAAATTCATAATGTTGTGATGTTGATCTCATAATATTTAAATTACCAATGTTGTGAGGTATTGAACCAGAGAAGTTGTTATTCGCAAGATCCAATATTTGAAGCCGTTCAAATCGAGCAAGTTGCCAAGGAATAACTCCTGAAAACATATTTGAACGTAAACGAAGCACTACCAGTTGTTGTAGATTTTCTCCCATCCATAGCGTTATGCTTCCGACAAGATTATTCTGAGTCAGATCAAGACACCATAAATTTGTACAATTTTTCAATGACAAAGGAACCTCACCCGAAAAACTGTTATTTTGCAGTTGCAATAGCAAAAGCTCACTTAAAAAACCGATCGTGTGTGGAATTTCACCCGAGAAGTGATTGTTGGCCAAATTCAAGAAATGAGGATTTTGTAATGACTCCCCTAGACAATAAGGGATCTCACCAAGTAATTTGTTGTTCGAAAGGTCAAGGTATTCGAGATATGTCCATTGGCAGATTGATGAAGATAAGCCACCGTCGAGCATGTTATCTGAGATTGACACAAATCTAACATGGGGCCATATCGGCAATTGCCCTGTAAAGGAATTATTGGAGAGGTATAGAGTTTCAAGTGTAGACGGTAGCATCGTTGGCAATGGACCTTCAAATCTGTTGGAATACAAAAATAATATTACCAACTTGGTGAACTTTAAAGAAGATGGCAGCTTCCCTCCTATTTGGTTGTTGGAAAGGTCTAAATATGTGATGGTAGAAGATGAAATATTCCAAAACCAAGCTGGCATTGTCCCTGCAATTTTACAGTCTGCCAAATATAATTCTTCGATCTGTGTTTGGAACTGCAACCATTCTGGAAATTGAGGTCCCAACTGACATTTAGTTAAATCTACTAATCTGAGTTGGAAAGGGGGGACCCAACTCTGGCCAATTGATATGGTGATGGAGGTACCATACAAGTCTAATACTTGTAATCTTGTAAGATTCTCAAAATGAACTTCTGAAATGATACCTCTCAGAGAATTTCCACCGAGATACAATTCAGTGAGATTAGATAGCTTACCAACGGAAGAAGGCATGGAACAGTTGAATAAATTAGATCGGAGATCCAAAATGATGAGATTCGTCATTTGCTCCAACCAACCGCTCAAATTTCCTGTCAATTGGTTGCCCGGCATATATAATTCTTTCAGTCTGCCCAAGTCTCCAATTGCATCGGGAATAACGCCATAGAACCCAGAATAATGGAGATCAAGGACGGTAAGAGAGGAGGTGAAGTTGACGTGGACAACAGAAACCGGGATGCTATTGAGACCACCGTAAGACATGTTTAACACCTGGAGGGACGGCAGCATGTTCACCGCCGAGAACCAATCTGGGACATCGATTAGGTTCAACCCGCTCAAGTTCAGGTGCTTCAAGGACGTGAGATGGGAGAGCCAGTCGAGGTTGTCGACGGGATATCCGTTGCCATAATCATCGACGTATAAAGCATCGCTTAGATCAAGAACGTAGAGGCTCGAAAGGTTCCCCACGCGAGCAGGTATTCCTCCCATGAATTGTGTAGAAGATAGATTGAGGTATCTCAGTTTCTTGAAGGAGCCGATGAATTCCGGTATGCGGATCCCGCTGAAATTATTGAAGCTAAGATCCAAGTGCTTCAGATGAGATAAAGCAAGTAATGACGAGTTCATCATCCCCTCACCGCGTAATTGCCCAATCATCTGTAGTATTTGTGTTTCGGAGGTCCAGCATGACGACGTGGCCAGTGGTGGTGTCGCAGGCCACTCCCTTCCATGTGCAACAGTGGTGGCCTGTCCAAGAAGATAGCCGGTTGCGGGTGTCTCCGACACCAGCTTTGAAGTCCAGCAGCGCCTCCCTCTCCATGCTAAAACACCCTCGTGCCACCTCTGCCCCGTGGAGAAGGAGGATGCCCAACAGGCTCAACAACAATGACGAGAAGAATGATGAGAAGAACAGGGCGAAGGTGCATGCTACGCTATTCCAAATCACAAATTTGTAAGCCAACCGATGCACACAATTAATTGTACCGACCCGTTCTCTAAAGAAGACTTCATATGTGACGAAAGAGGTAAGACTTCGACTTGTCAGCCCATTCCAAGTTTCGTGGCGATGCGGAGAGCACCTTCACCATCGGAGACTTCATATGTGACGAAAGGGGTAAGAGTTGGGATGGACGGAACCAGTGGTTATGATGCAGAGCATCATGTGGATCATGAACGTGAAGCCAAGTATGCATAGAATCGATCGAGACTACACCACCTCGACTCAGAAACAGTTGACTGACCGAAATAACTTGGGTGCAAAATAGTAAATATGTGTGGTTGGAATAATAAATTAAACTTTATGATTAGATAGAATTTTGGAAACTGACAGCATCGGTCTCAATCAGTAGGATAAGCACTGTTTGACAGAAGTGGGGTCGTCTTCTTTAAATTTGATTGTGCATTCCATGGATTCTTTTTCTACACATCGCTGGCCAAGAAGACTTTGACTTGCGGTAAATTAGAATTAAGATTAGAGATCTAAATAAAAAAATTAATTTTTTTAGTAAATTAGAATTTATTTCTGTAAATATATCATAAATCTAATATCTTGATGATAGAGATACATAGGAAAACATTTGGGTGTTCTTAAATTTCTCTTGGTAGATTTAAAAAGGATTAAGATAAAAATCCTTTCGGACATATGTGAAATAGCATATAAGAAATTTCAGACTTCAATTTGGATTAACTAATGAAAATAATTTTTATACTGATTTATCAAAGAACAATAATCTTAAAAGAAATCAAGGTTGTGTTGGGCAACAAACTTGCTTGAACATGCAGATGTACGAACAACAAATTAAGGTAGTTTAGTGTATGTTGAAACTTTAGACCCTATGTGACCCGATATAAAAATTAATATATGAGTTCAATACATGAAATTGAATAATCAAAAGAAATAGACACACCCGATAAGAAAGAATAATCAACTGACTTATCAATCTTACTATGCATCTTTAGGTTAATCGTTATTAAGAGAGATTGATTAATAATATAACAGACGATTCTTACTATAACCCACCCAAAATTGAATAATCAAAAGATGTTAGTCAGATGTTCAATTCATGACTTTGGCATAATGTAGAGATAATTTGGTGTGCCAGAATCAACGTTTGTCTGACATACTTTATTTTCTGCTAGAGTTTCTTAATATTTGTTTTACTAGGAAGACCTGATATAGAGTAGACGGATGACTTGGATCGATTTTACTACTAAATTAGAGTCATATTGAAAGGGTTTTAAAATTTTTAAAATTAGAGTCGTTATGATGCAGAGCAACATGCGGATCATGAGCGTGAAGCAAAGTATGCATAGAATGGATCGAGACTACACCACTTTGACTCAGAAACAGTTAACTGACTGAAAGAAATCCTCAAGTGTTTCTTACCTACGTTTTGATAAAGTGCCAAAGAAAAACACTTACTAGACTCTTTTGGAGTGACTCCTGAGATAGATAGATTTATTCCTTACATTTTTGCATAATGAAGAATACAAATGCTTGACCACATAAATTTTATAAAAGTTATTTTGAGTATATGTTCCCTTATTAATTCTCTTGATTGTTCTTTTGATATTGTGCCACATACCACCATATTGTGGATGGTACCCATTATCCATGATCAAATAGAATTTTGGAAACTGATAGCATCGGTCTCAATAAGTGGGATAAGCACAGGCGTGGGGTCGTCTTCTTTAAATTTGATTGTGCATTCCATGGATTCTTTTTCTACACGTCGCTAGCCAAGAAGACTTTGACTCGCTGTAAATTAGAATTTAGATTAGAGTTCTAAATAGAAAAATTAATTTTTAATAAATTAGAAATTATTTTGGTACATATACCATAAATCTAAGATCTCGATGAGAGAGATACACAGGCAAACATTTGGGTGTTCTTAAATTTCTTTGAGTAGATTTAAAAAGGATTAAGATAGAAATTCTTTCCAAAATGGACATTGGTTGCCTTTGAATCCAATCCATATATTATGTAATCAAATTCTAATTTAACAAAGAACAATAATCGTAAAACAAATCAAGGTAGTTGAGTCTACATTGAAACTTTAGGAATTATATATATATATATATATATATATATATATATATATATATATATATACTTGGCCGAATAAGATAAGAGTCTTAACACATGAAAATTGAATAATCAAAAGATGTAAATACTATGTGATGTGATAAGGAAGAATAATCAACTAGCTTATCAATCCACATCAAGTTAATCACTATTGAGAGAGATTGATTAATAACATAATAAACGACTCTTACTACTTCAATCCAAAATTAAATAATCAAAAGATGTTAGTTGAATGTCCAATTCATGGCTTTGGCATAATGTGGAGATGATTTGGAGTGACAGAGTCAACATTTATGTTTAATATACTTTATTTTTTACTAATCTCTTAATATTTGTTTTACTACAAAGACATGACAGAGTCAACATTTACGTCTAACATACTTTATTTTTTGCTAGTCTCTTAATATTTGTTTTACTACAAAAACCTAATATAGAGTAGACGAATGATTTGGATCAGTTTTACCACTAAATTGAAACATAATTGAAGGGGTTTGTTTCTTTTATAAATATCATATATCTATCGATTTTAAGAGAGAGAGAGAGAGAGAGAGAGAGAGAGAGAGCAAGATTTGAAGAATATATATACATAAATGTATGCCACCTATTAAGAATATACACACATAGAGAGAGAGAGAGAGAGAGTGGAGTTATTGTTAGTTGGATGCCCAATTCATGCCTTTGGCATAATATAGAGATGCGTTGGAGTGACAGAGTAAAAGTTGCATTTAACATTACTTTATTTTCTACTCATAGTCTATTAATATTTGTTTTGATTAGAAAAACTTGATATAGAGTGGAGGAATGACTTGGGTTAATCTTATCATTAAATTAGCGCTCTATTAAAGGGGTTAGAATGTTAATAACTTAGGAGTTGTATTGAAGAGGTTTATTTCTTCTATAGATATTTTATGTATTTTTAGATTTTAAGAGAGATAACAAGATGTGAAAAATACTTATGTATTTTTAGATTTTTAGATTTTATGTATTGAAGAACTCACCTTCTGGGCAACTGTATCCATCTATTGGCTATTGATTCATGTCCATGCTATTGGCTGCCAATTCGGTCAAACTTCTCCTGCCTATTCGAGCATACAACTCTCATTGGTTAAGGCTTAACCGATAGAGCTGTGTTAGGTTATCATTTTTATTATTCCATAAAGCTAAAGACGATAGAAACTAAGGGTTTTGAAGGTGATGGCAGAGTTGTTGTCAACATCTCGCTCTCTTAATCATTCATCATCACAACATATGTCATAATATTTTAACCACAGTTCCACAAGTTTTCATATGAGAATTGCAAGGCTTAAACTTGTACGCAACTTAAATCCAAATACATGCACTTGACACAATACAAAACATATACATCCATATAATATCCAGCAGCGACATATTGAGCTCTCAAATACAAATAAGTTCACCAAAGACATCTCACTAATGGATTATTACATCACAAGTCTCAAGAGTTTGAACCATAAACAATATAATTTGTTGTCTTGATACATAACCAAATTCAATATACTCGCAGGCATCTGAAAAATTTTAACAACAGGGATATGAGCAACCACATCTTAGTAAACACCAAAAATCATATATTAGCAAAACTTCTCATGGATGCATTTTATAAAACTATACAATTATATAAAGAGCAAACATATCTTTACATGCTTTTCAAATCACAACTTTTTAGCTTAATAAGCACATAAGACACCATAATTTTTTAATACATTTGCATAGAAAAACATAAGTGTATAGATTTCATTTTAATGCCAAGATTATTATTAATCAATCATGAATCAGTATAAGTATAACTAAGCCTTCATATCTAAATTCATTGATGGTCATGACTATAACAAAGGGCATATATTAAAATAGAAGTCCAAGTGCTAATGGCTATGACCATATTGTATCCTGGTGATGACAAGGATCAAAATCACATTTAATCTCCATGATATAGGTAATACATTTATCTCTATGTTAGAACAACAACAATTGATAAAGTCTAAATCAAAACCAACTAATTGAGAACAATTAACCATCATCTAAAGTAACATATGGACACCTTATTTGAAATATGTTCAACAATATAGCATTGGAAAATATAATAATTGAATATTCTAATATTTTAAACAAATGCAATATCAAAAAGCTTATTTTCAAAAACCAATTTAACATTTTCAAATCACATAACTTCATTATTAACAAATATATTATTAAATTAGAAAACAAGTTAGACATAATCATTCGATACTTATGTTAATCATATATTATTATAACTGATATGGTAATCAAAACTCTCCTTTTCTAAATCATTCGAATAATATAAACCAATCCAATAAACAATCATAATATTTTCTTTCTTATGTGAGAATGACTATTTTTTTCTCTAAAATCACAAGATACTCAATAATTTTAGAATAATTAATCTATAGCTCTATTTACTCTCTCATTGGTAGGGAATGAATAGGAATTCAAAATCATACATATATATACTCTTTCAAATTTTAAACTTACTCTCTTGAAATAAAAACAACATCCTTATTAAATCTCACACCTCCTTTTTTTTTTTTTTCTCCTCTTTTCTTCCCCTGCCAAAGCCACCCCTCTCTTCCTCTAATTTATTATTATTTCGAAAGTAATGTGTTTGTTCCTTTAAAATCAATATAGCATATTTTTAAACTATATCTTCATACGAAAGACTTGGTTGTAGTTCTCTTCTTTTTGTAATATTTCTCTGCTTTAAAACTATGAGCCAACTCTTGCATGATGTTATAATTATGCAAACATCAAATAGAAGAAGACCATAAATATAGCAGCCCATCCTTTCTTAGATCAACAATACAAATGCTTTTTTCATTGATCACAGCTAGCTGCTAGGAATCCAAAATACCATATAAATAAAAAGTAGAGTGATGACATACATTTTCCTCAGCTACCGTGAAGCTCGGGATCATCCACACTAGAAGTTTAGGATTAACGTCTCAACAATCGTCGAAGAATTAATTGCCATTGCACCCAAACCCAATCATACATATCATCAATGATATGGAAATAAGCATGCCTCCATGCGTCTTTGAGGAAGAGAATACCACAAAATATCCAAAATCCCATCACAAATCCTAGTATCATGCTAATATAGAACCATAACCACTCGGAAATCTCCTTTTTGTACTCTTGCATAAAACAATTTTTGAAAATTTGTGGTCCACATAAGTCGGCATTGCCCATGTAAATGGATGGATCATTGAGTGTTTGGAGTTGATAACCAGTTGGTATCATTCCCGAAAGATTATTATATGATAAATTCAAGTAGCTCAAGGAATATAAAGTCAATAAGCTCTCAGGAATGCTACCAGAAAGATCATTTATCGATAGATCAAGGGATTCTAATGATTCCATTCCTCCTATCTCCCAAGGAATTTTTCCTTGTAAATGATTTCTTGACAAATTTAAGTTATTGAGTCCTATAAGGTCTCCAATTCCTTTTGGTATCTCACCAAATAATTTGTTGTTCGAAAGGTCAAGAAATTTAAGATATGTCCATTGGCAGATTGATGAAGATAAGCCACCATCAAGCATATTATCCGAGAGTGCCACTGATTGAACATGGGGCCATATCGGCAATTGCCCTGTAAAGGAATTATCGGAGAGGTATAGAGTTTGAAGTGTAGACGGTAGCATCGTTGGCAATGGACCTTCAAATCTGTTGGAGTCCAAAGATAATGTTTCTAACTTGGTGAACTTGAAAGAAGATGACAGCTTCCCTCCTATTTGGTTGTTGGAAAGGTCTAAATATGTGATGGTAGAAGATGAAATATTCCCAAACCAAGCGGGCATTGTCCCTGCAATTTTACAGTCTGCCAAATGTAATTCTTGGATCTGTGTTTGAAACTGCAACCATTCTGGAAATTGAGGTCCCAACTGACATTTGGTTAAATCTACATATCTGAGTTGGAAAGGGGGGACCCAACTCTGCCCAATTGATATGGTGATGGAGTTGCCATACAAGTCCAACAGTCGCAATCTTGTAAGATTCTCAAAATGAACTTCTGAAAGGACACCTCCAACAGAATTTCCAGCGAGATTCAATTCGGTGAGATTAGAGAACTTACCAAAGGAGGAAGGCATGGAACCGTTGAATAAATTAGATCGGAGATCCAAAATGATGAGATTCGTCATTTGCTCCAGCCAACCACCCAAATTTCCTGTCAATTGGTTGCTCGGCATATGTAATTCTTTCAGTCTACGGAGATCAACCATGGATTTCGGTACGATACCCTCGAGTTGATTGCCTCCTAGATCAAGAAAAGTAAGAGAGCCCAAGTCTCCAATTGTATCGGGAATAACGCCATAGAACCCAGAGTAATGGAGATCAAGATGGGTAAGACTACTAATATTCCCCAACCATTTGGGTAAGATGGAGTTGAAATTATTGAAGGAGAGATCAAGGACGGTAAGAGAGGAGGTGAAGTTGACATGGACAACAGAAGCTGGGATGGTATCGAGACCAACGTAAGACATACTTAACACTTGGAGGGATGGCAGCATGTTCACGGATGAGAACCAATCTGGGGCACCGGTTAGCTTCAACCAGCTCAAGTCCAGGTTCTTCAGGGAGGTAAGATGGGAGAGCCAGTCGAGGTTGTCTAGGGATGTAAAATCTAAAGCATCGCTTAGATCAAGAACGTAGAGGCTCGAAAGGTTCCCCAGCCGAGCAGGTATTCCTCCCATGAAATATGTAGAAGATAGATTGAGGTATCTCAATTTCTTGAAGGAGCCGATGAATTCCGGTATGCGGATTCTCCTGAAATCATTGACGCTAAGATCCAAGTGCTTCAAATGAGATAAAGCAAGCAATGACGAGTTCATCCTCTCACCGCGTAATGCCCGATTAAACGTATTCCGGAGGTCGAGCCTGACGACGTGGCCAGTGGTGGCACCACAGATGACCCCCTCCCATGCGCAGCAGTCTTGGCCTACCCAAGAAGATAGCCGGTTATAGGTGTCGTGGATGCCGGCTTTGAAGTCCAACAGTGCCTCCCTCTCCAAGCTGAAACACCCACTTGTCACCGTGGCCCGGTGGAGGAGGAGGGCCAAGAGGCACAACGACAGTGATGATAAGAAGCGTAAAGGGAAACCCATGGCGCGCAGTTTGATCTCCCTCCCTCCCTACCTACTCCTAGCCGCCACAATCAGAAGAACAGGGCGAAGGTGGAGGTGCATGCTACGCTATGCCAAATCACAAATTTGTAAGCCAACTGATGCACACAATTTCTTCCATTCCATGATGCTCTAACTTTCTCCGCTCCATTACATCATGCGTGGAATTAATTGTACCGACTCGCTCTCCAAAGAAGACTTCGACTGAGAACACACAAGTCACCTTCACCATCGGAGACTTCATATGTGACGAAAGAGGTGAGAGTTCAGATGGACGGAACCAGTGGTTTTATCATGTGACGTAAGAGTGAGGGCCAAGTTTTTGTTCCATCATCGTAGGGGTAAAATGATAGATACCTAAGGATGAAAGCCGCCATGATTAATACGGCTTTTTGGAAACTGATAGCATCGGTCTCAATCAGTGGGATAAGCACTGTTTGACAGACGAGCGACTCGCAGGAAATAAATCCAAAAACGTGGGATCATCTTCTTTAAATTTGATTGATGCAGAGAAGATGAGCGGTGAGAAGCCTCACATCCCTAAGCTGCATTCCAAGGATTCTTTTTCTACCTACTGGTCTATAATGACAATTTTAGGACAGAAAGTGCCTCATCTGCAGCGTAATATGTTTTCTAGAGGCTAAAAGAGTACTGTATACCCCCTCTTTCAGAAGCATCCTCTTGGTAGAACTGTTTTGTCTAGGAAAGACGTCAAACAATATCATGGACGAGCGTGCTTCATACGGAAAGATATACCAAAGAAGGTTAGTTGGGATAGCTACTCAACACAATCGAGTAACCAACCACTCGGTGGGCAAGACTCGTGAGCTTTACAAGTCTTCCATGTCTACTGGTGAAATGAAGAAGATGACTTGCATGTTGTGTGGAAGAAGTTGGCCTTTGCTGGAGTTGATTCCGTTGTCGATTGGGCTGACAGGTCAAGTCTTCTTCGTGGAGAAGCGGAGATCAAAAGTAGTCCATGGAATGGGAGAATTTTGCGTACATCCCTTTCCTTTCCTCATCAGTTGCTTTATAAACCATGTATGTTGGCTTTGTGATTTGACCGGCCATACACCTCCACCTTCTACCTGGTCTTCTGATTGTGGCGGCTAGTTGGGGGCAATGGTGGCAAGTGGGTGTTTTTAAAATGGTGAGGGAGGTGTTGGAATTAAACTTATTGACTAATGATTCTTGAAAGAGTTTTTTAGAAAAGAATAATTTATTTTAAATATAATTAATGTAATATATCTATAAAAACTTTATAAACCCGAAATATAAAAGTTTTTGATGCTATAAAGAAAGATAGAATATTTTGTCATGTCCTACTCTTCCTTTGTGTGATATCCCTATCTCTTCTTCCTAGTTCAATATTTGGTATTATATCTTAGCTTAAGCTATGGTCTCTTTTCCAAGTACCATATGTTACGATCAAGAGCACTAAGAGGGGGGGTGAATTAGTGCAGCAGAAAACTTTCTACGATAAAAATCGCGTTCGTTCGATAAAAGTGATTTCGGTAGGAAAGCCGATTTGTAAATCACTTTAACTTTTGATTAAGCGAGATGCAGCAAAGATTTAAGTGCAGTTTGCAGTTATTGTTCAAATCAGATAGTAGGCGCAAACTAAAATATGATATTCGTACGAAAAAACTGATTTACGTCTAAATGCTGATTCGTAAATCACTTGATTAAGCGAGATGCAGTTAAAGCAAGGATATAAAGGCAGTTTGCAGTTATGATAGAAATCAAAACGTAAACGCAAACTGAAATATGATGATCGTACGATAAAACTGATTTACGTCTAAACGCCGATTCGGAGAGTGCAAAGCTTGAAACCCAATCGTATATATGCAGAAAGCAGTAAGCTTTTGAGGAGATTTGCAGTAAGGATAAGATGCTCAAAGTAAATGCAAACCGAGATTTAGAGTGGTTCGGTCAATCTTGACCTACTCCACTTTTGGCTTCCTCT